GTCCCCACGTTGCGTGTCTTTCTGGTTTTTTAGAATTCTCAAAAACCAGCGAGTGGGTGCAGCAGGTCCCCACGTTGCGTGTCTTTCTGGTTTTTTAGAATTCTAAAAAACCAGCGAGTGGGTGCAGCAGGTCCCCACGTTGCGTGTCTTTCTGGTTTTTTAGAATTCTCAAAAACCAGCGAGTGGGTGCAGCAGGTCCCCACGTTGCGTGTCTTTCTGGTTTTTTAGAATTCTCAAAAACCAGCGAGTGGGTGCAGCAGGTCCCCACGTTGCGTGTCTTTCTGGTTTTTTAGAATTCTAAAAAACCAGCGAGTGGGTGCAGCAGGTCCCCACGTTGCGTGTCTTTCTGGTTTTTTAGAATTCTCAAAAACCAGCGAGTGGGTGCAGCAGGTCCCCACGTTGCGTGTCTTTCTGGTTTTTTAGAATTCTCAAAAACCAGCGAGTGGGTGCAGCAGGTCCCCACGTTGCGTGTCTTTCTGGTTTTTTAGAATTCTCAAAAACCAGCGAGTGGGTGCAGCAGGTCCCCACGTTGCGTGTCTTTCTGGTTTTTTAGAATTCTCAAAAACCAGCGAGTGGGTGCAGCAGGTCCCCACGTTGCGTGTCTTTCTGGTTTTTTAGAATTCTCAAAAACCAGCGAGTGGGTGCAGCAGGTCCCCACGTTGCGTGTCTTTCTGGTTTTTTAGAATTCTAAAAAACCAGCGAGTGGGTGCAGCAGGTCCCCACGTTGCGTGTCTTTCTGGTTTTTTAGAATTCTCAAAAACCAGCGAGTGGGTGCAGCAGGTCCCCACGTTGCGTGTCTTTCTGGTTTTTTAGAATTCTAAAAAACCAGCGAGTGGGTGCAGCAGGTCCCCACGTTGCGTGTCTTTCTGGTTTTTTAGAATTCTCAAAAACCAGCGAGTGGGTGCAGCAGGTCCCCACGTTGCGTGTCTTTCTGGTTTTTTAGAATTCTCAAAAACCAGCGAGTGGGTGCAGCAGGTCCCCACGTTGCGTGTCTTTCTGGTTTTTTAGAATTCTCAAAAACCAGCGAGTGGGTGCAGCAGGTCCCCACGTTGCGTGTCTTTCTGGTTTTTTAGAATTCTCAAAAACCAGCGAGTGGGTGCAGCAGGTCCCCACGTTGCGTGTCTTTCTGGTTTTTTAGAATTCTCAAAAACCAGCGAGTGGGTGCAGCAGGTCCCCACGTTGCGTGTCTTTCTGGTTTTTTAGAATTCTCAAAAACCAGCGAGTGGGTGCAGCAGGTCCCCACGTTGCGTGTCTTTCTGGTTTTTTAGAATTCTAAAAAACCAGCGAGTGGGTGCAGCAGGTCCCCACGTTGCGTGTCTTTCTGGTTTTTTAGAATTCTCAAAAACCAGCGAGTGGGTGCAGCAGGTCCCCACGTTGCGTGTCTTTCTGGTTTTTTAGAATTCTCAAAAACCAGCGAGTGGGTGCAGCAGGTCCCCACGTTGCGTGTCTTTCTGGTTTTTTAGAATTCTCAAAAACCAGCGAGTGGGTGCAGCAGGTCCCCACGTTGCGTGTCTTTCTGGTTTTTTAGAATTCTCAAAAACCAGCGAGTGGGTGCAGCAGGTCCCCACGTTGCGTGTCTTTCTGGTTTTTTAGAATTCTCAAAAACCAGCGAGTGGGTGCAGCAGGTCCCCACGTTGCGTGTCTTTCTGGTTTTTTAGAATTCTCAAAAACCAGCGAGTGGGTGCAGCAGGTCCCCACGTTGCGTGTCTTTCTGGTTTTTTAGAATTCTCAAAAACCAGCGAGTGGGTGCAGCAGGTCCCCACGTTGCGTGTCTTTCTGGTTTTTTAGAATTCTCAAAAACCAGCGAGTGGGTGCAGCAGGTCCCCACGTTGCGTGTCTTTCTGGTTTTTTAGAATTCTCAAAAACCAGCGAGTGGGTGCAGCAGGTCCCCACGTTGCGTGTCTTTCTGGTTTTTTAGAATTCTCAAAAACCAGCGAGTGGGTGCAGCAGGTCCCCACGTTGCGTGTCTTTCTGGTTTTTTAGAATTCTCAAAAACCAGCGAGTGGGTGCAGCAGGTCCCCACGTTGCGTGTCTTTCTGGTTTTTTAGAATTCTAAAAAACCAGCGAGTGGGTGCAGCAGGTCCCCACGTTGCGTGTCTTTCTGGTTTTTTAGAATTCTCAAAAACCAGCGAGTGGGTGCAGCAGGTCCCCACGTTGCGTGTCTTTCTGGTTTTTTAGAATTCTCAAAAACCAGCGAGTGGGTGCAGCAGGTCCCCACGTTGCGTGTCTTTCTGGTTTTTTAGAATTCTCAAAAACCAGCGAGTGGGTGCAGCAGGTCCCCACGTTGCGTGTCTTTCTGGTTTTTTAGAATTCTCAAAAACCAGCGAGTGGGTGCAGCAGGTCCCCACGTTGCGTGTCTTTCTGGTTTTTTAGAATTCTCAAAAACCAGCGAGTGGGTGCAGCAGGTCCCCACGTTGCGTGTCTTTCTGGTTTTTTAGAATTCTCAAAAACCAGCGAGTGGGTGCAGCAGGTCCCCACGTTGCGTGTCTTTCTGGTTTTTTAGAATTCTCAAAAACCAGCGAGTGGGTGCAGCAGGTCCCCACGTTGCGTGTCTTTCTGGTTTTTTAGAATTCTCAAAAACCAGCGAGTGGGTGCAGCAGGTCCCCACGTTGCGTGTCTTTCTGGTTTTTTAGAATTCTCAAAAACCAGCGAGTGGGTGCAGCAGGTCCCCACGTTGCGTGTCTTTCTGGTTTTTTAGAATTCTCAAAAACCAGCGAGTGGGTGCAGCAGGTCCCCACGTTGCGTGTCTTTCTGGTTTTTTAGAATTCTCAAAAACCAGCGAGTGGGTGCAGCAGGTCCCCACGTTGCGTGTCTTTCTGGTTTTTTAGAATTCTCAAAAACCAGCGAGTGGGTGCAGCAGGTCCCCACGTTGCGTGTCTTTCTGGTTTTTTAGAATTCTCAAAAACCAGCGAGTGGGTGCAGCAGGTCCCCACGTTGCGTGTCTTTCTGGTTTTTTAGAATTCTCAAAAACCAGCGAGTGGGTGCAGCAGGTCCCCACGTTGCGTGTCTTTCTGGTTTTTTAGAATTCTCAAAAACCAGCGAGTGGGTGCAGCAGGTCCCCACGTTGCGTGTCTTTCTGGTTTTTTAGAATTCTCAAAAACCAGCGAGTGGGTGCAGCAGGTCCCCACGTTGCGTGTCTTTCTGGTTTTTTAGAATTCTCAAAAACCAGCGAGTGGGTGCAGCAGGTCCCCACGTTGCGTGTCTTTCTGGTTTTTTAGAATTCTCAAAAACCAGCGAGTGGGTGCAGCAGGTCCCCACGTTGCGTGTCTTTCTGGTTTTTTAGAATTCTCAAAAACCAGCGAGTGGGTGCAGCAGGTCCCCACGTTGCGTGTCTTTCTGGTTTTTTAGAATTCTCAAAAACCAGCGAGTGGGTGCAGCAGGTCCCCACGTTGCGTGTCTTTCTGGTTTTTTAGAATTCTCAAAAACCAGCGAGTGGGTGCAGCAGGTCCCCACGTTGCGTGTCTTTCTGGTTTTTTAGAATTCTCAAAAACCAGCGAGTGGGTGCAGCAGGTCCCCACGTTGCGTGTCTTTCTGGTTTTTTAGAATTCTCAAAAACCAGCGAGTGGGTGCAGCAGGTCCCCACGTTGCGTGTCTTTCTGGTTTTTTAGAATTCTCAAAAACCAGCGAGTGGGTGCAGCAGGTCCCCACGTTGCGTGTCTTTCTGGTTTTTTAGAATTCTCAAAAACCAGCGAGTGGGTGCAGCAGGTCCCCACGTTGCGTGTCTTTCTGGTTTTTTAGAATTCTCAAAAACCAGCGAGTGGGTGCAGCAGGTCCCCACGTTGCGTGTCTTTCCGTCACCATGTGCGTGTTTGTGTGTTTCTCCCTCCTTCCAATCCCTATGTCCGTTTTCCTCCTCCCCAGGCAAGGGCGTGCAGTGCACGTGGTGACGGTCAGGTCAGCGACTACTTGGCTCGCAGGAATGCCGAGTGTTTGCGGCAGGTCCCCAAATTGCGTGTCACTGTACATGTGTGGCTTTAAGATAACATCATATCCATGTCCCTCCTCCTTCTTAAACCCATCCGCCCTCCCTCCTCCCCACGCAAGGGTGTGCACGTGGTGACAGTCAACGTCTATTTGGCTCGCCGGGATGCCGAGTGGGTGGGAAATATACCCAGATTGCATCTTGCTGTGTGAATTTGCAATATTAATTTGATCCAACTACCCTCCCTCCTCGCCAGTCAAGGGCGTGCATGTGGTGACAGTCAACGACTACTTGGCTCGCAGGGATGCAGAGTGGGTGGGACAAATTCACAAGTATTTGGGTCTCTCTGTGGGCCTCATTCAACGTAAGCACCTGCTTGTATGTAACCAACTTCTGAGAGGTCTCAAACAGCAGCAACTTGGTTTGGAGGGATGCAGAGTGGGTGGGACAAATTCACAAGTATTTGGGTCTCTCTGTGGGCCTCATTCAACGTAAGCACATGCTTGTATGTAACCAACTTCTGAGAGGTCTCAAACAGCAGCAACTTGGTTTGGAGGGATGCAGAGTGGGTGGGACAGATTCACAAGTATTTGGGTCTCTCTGTGGGCCTCATTCAACGTAAGCACCTCCTGTAAGCCTCATGCGGTAAAGCCCTTTTCGTAAGCCTCATCTGATATAATCACCTGCTTGTAAGCCTCGTTTATTGGAGAAGTCTGTCATTGGAGCCTTGTTCAGTCCAGCCTTTGTAATCATATCACCTCCATTTCAAACAGCGATCCATCCATGATGCTTTCTGCTCTCTGAGCCTTGCAAACCGTGTTTTGAGACGTCTCAAACAATTTTGGTTTTAACGTAGCCTTGTTCGGTTCAGCCTTTGTTATCATATCACCTCCATTTCAAACAGTGATCCATCCATGATGCTTTTTGCTCTCTGAGCCTTGCAAACCGTGTTTTGAGACGTCTCAAAACAAATTCGTTATCACGTAGCCTTGTTCAGTCCAGCCTTCGTTATCATATCACTCATTTCAAGCAGTGATCCATCCATGATGCTGTCTGCTCTCTCATCCTTGCAGAGGGTATGACGGCGCAGCAGAGGAGGGAGAGCTATGCGTGCGATGTCACATACGTCACCAACAGCGAGCTTGGCTTCGACTACCTCAGGGACAATCTCGCCACTGTAAGTGATTCTTCTCATGCGCGCATGCATGCATGTATGCTGCCACTGTAAGTGCCTGCATTCCATTTTAATCGCACTGACTTTTTTCGATTCCCTTCCTTCCCTTGCCATCCCTTACCCTCCCTGCACCCAGTCCAAGGCGGACCTGGTGGTGCCCTCTTTCAACTTCTGCATCATCGATGAAGTCGACTCCATTCTCATCGACGAGGCCCGCACACTCACTCCCTTCCATTCCCTCCCCCGCCGCTTGCCATCCCTCACCTCACCTCCTCCACTCACAGTCCAAGGGGGACCTAGTCGTGCCCTCCTTCAACTTCTGCATCATCGATGAAGTCGCTTCCATTCTCATCGACGAGGCACTTGCACTGACTCCTCTACATCCCTTCCCTTCCCTTCCCGCCTTGCCCTGCTTTCCCCACTCACAGTCCAAGGTGGACCTAGTTGTACCCTCCTTCAACTTCTGCATAATCGATGAAGTTGATTCCATTCTCATAGACGAGGCCCGCACGCCGCTCATCATCTCAGGGCCGGCTGAGAAGCCCAGCGAGCGATACCTTGTTGCTGCCAAGATCGCAGCGGCTTTTGAACGAGACGTGCACTACACGGTGAGTAAGTTGGTAGGTTGACAGCTTGACATGACCTCTGTTTCCTTGTCAATCATCGAGGCCTGCACGCACGCCTCTCATCATCTCAGGGCAGGCAGAGAAGCCCAGCGAGCCATTCCTCGTTGCTGTCAAGAATCAAGATTGCTGCTTTTGAGACGTCTCAAAATGCTGTCAAGAATCAAGATTGTTGCTGCCTCTGAGAGAGAAGTGCACTACACAGTGAGTCGGTGGGTTGCTTGCGCAGGTTTGCCTGTTTCCTACTCGTCGTATTCTGGCCGGCTGGCAGAGAATCCCAGTGAGAGATTCTCTTAGTTGGAAGGTGGTACTGTTAACAGAGACATGCTACGAGGAAGCAGAGCTGGTTCTCAAACTGACCGACCTGTACGCCCCCAAGCAGCAGTGGGCGCCCTTCCTCCTCAACACAGTAGCTCCCCTTTCCTCTCTTCCTTCCCTGCCCACCCGCCTGCCTTCCCTGCGTGCAGATCTCTACGACCCCAAGCAGCAGTGGGCCTCCTTCCTCCTCAACGTCATCACACCCTCCTCTCCCTTCTTTCTCTCCTTTGCTCTCTTCTTGTCTGCCTCTTCATCTTCCTTCCCACTGCCTGCCTGCTCTGTCTGCCCGTCCCACTCAGGTTGACGAGAAGCAGAAGGTGGTACGTCTAACAGAGATAGGCTACAAGGAAGCAGAGCTGGTGCTCAAAGTGACAGACCTCTACGACCCCAAGCAGCAGTGGGCCTCCTTCCTCCTCAACGCAGTCGAATCCTCTTCTCCCTGCTTCCTCTCCTTTGCTCTCTTCCTGCCTTTTTTCTTCCTCGTCCTTCCCTGCCCGTTCGCCTGCCTTCCCTCCCTACCCGCCTGTGTTCTTCTTTGTCTGTTTTTGGTCTCCATTCAGGTGGACGAGAAGCAGAAGGTGGTTCTCTTAACAGAGATAGGGTATGAAGAAGCAGAGCTGGTGCTCAAAGTGACCGACCTGTACGATCCCAAGGAGCAGTGGGCCTCCTTCCTCCTCAACGCAATCAAAGCCAAGGAGCTCTTTGCTAAGGACGTGCAGTACATTGTGCGCGACGGAGCGGTGCTTATAGTGGATGAGTTTACAGGGAGGATAATGGAGGGGCGGCGGTGGAGCGAGGGCGTGCATCAAGCAGTGGAGGCAAAGGAGGGCGTGGCGATTCAGAACGAGACGGTCAGCCTGGCGTCTATCAGCTATCAGAACTTCTTCCTGCAGGTATGGCAGGCCAGGCTAGCTGTGATGTGTGCGAGGCCATCAAGTCAGGACGTGTTTGCACAGAGGGCAGGCCCACAGGGTGGTGCAGTGAGGGCGTGCACCAGGCAGTGGAGGCAAAGGAGGGCGTGGCGATCCAGAACGAAACGGTCAGCCTCGCTTCGATCAGCTATCAGAACTTCTTCCTGCAGGTATGGCAGGTGTATGTGTGAGGAATCAGCTGTGCCTAGTAAAACGTGCTGGCATGGTGACTTGTGAGTCGACTCGAAGGTGTATGTCTGAGGAATCAGTTGTGCGTATCAAGTCGTGCTGGCATGGAAAGTGAGCTCAAGTGGAATATGGGCTTGTACGGTTGATGTGCTTGTGTGGAGTGGAGCGATGGAGGGAGGATAATGGAGGGGCGGCGGTGGAGTGAGGGCGTGCATCAGGCAGTGGAGGCGAAGGAGGGCGTGGTATGCCAGGGCTTGTGTTGAGCGAGGGCGGGCATCAGTCAACTGTTTAGGCGCCTCAAAGGGAAGATGGGCTTGCATGGAGTGAGGGCGTGCACCAGGCAGTGGAGGCGAAGGAGGGCGTGGTATGCCAGGCGTGCTGTGCTGTGTGTGAGACCTGTTGTGCCCATCAAGACGCGGTTGCATGAGGGGTGGGCTTGCATTTAGGTGGGTCTGTGTGGAGTGAGTGAGGGCGTGCACGAGGCAGTGGAGGCGAAGGAGGGAGTGGGGATTCAGAACGAGACAGTCAGCCTGGCGTCTATCAGCTATCAGAACTTCTTCCTGCAGGTATTTGGGGCAGCTGTAGGCACACATGCGCAATGTGCACGCATGCGCGATGTGGTTGCGTGGACGGGTGGGCTGGTGTGGTTGTGAGGTGAGGGCGTGCACCACCAGGCAGTGGAGGCGAAGGAGGGAGTGGGGATTCAGAACGAGACAGTCAGTTTGGCCTCTATCAGCTATCAAAACTTCTTCCCCCAGGTATGTCAGGCCAGCTGAATGCGTGTAGGGCTTGCATGCGTTGATGTGTATCCTCGTCAAATGTTTGTCAGTCTGGCATCCATAAGCTACCGGAATTTCTTCCTGCAGGTATGGAAGGTGTATGCCTGTCTCAGGGTATTTTTGAGAATTCTGAAAAATAACCTGCGGTGTATGCCTGTCTGAGGGAACCAAGCTGTGTGGCATGGCATGGCTGGCTTAGCAGCCACGTGGTCATTCAAGAGTGGTAGAAAGCAGCACATATCGAACCAGTCCAATCCTCATTGCCAACAACGCAATTCATGTGCCTATCCCATCCCATGGCAGCAGTACCCCGAGCTGTGTGGCATGACTGGGGCAGCAGCCACAGAGGCACCAGCAGTCGATATAGCCCAGTTTTACACCCCCTTCCCCTTCCCTCCCCCACCCCCCACTCCAAACCCCTTTTTACCTTCTGCACTGCATTGCCCCAAGCTATTTGGCGTGACCGGCTTGGCTGCCACAGAGGCAGCAACAATCCGCCAGCCCTCCCCCCCTTCATTTGTCCCTCCAGCCCATCTCCCCTTGCTCTTTGTCCCTCCAACCCATCTCCCCTTGCTCTTTGTCCCTCCAACCCATCTTCCCTTGCTCTTTGTCCCTCCAACCCCCGTCTCTTCCCTTCCTTTCACCTTATCTATCTGCACTGGAGTACCCCCCAAACTGTGTGGCATGAATGACACGGCAGCCATAGAGGCGGACAGGACAGGTGTGGTTGCGAGCAGCATATGCATCCAACAACCCAGACTCTACAACCCTTGTCGCTGTGTATCCATCTGCTCTGCAGTACCCCAAGCTGTGCGGCATGACAGGCACGGCAGCGACAGAGGCAGACGAGTTTGAGAGCATCTACAAGCTGGCTGTGGCCGAGGTCCCCACCAACCGACCTCTTCAGCGGAAGGTGAGGCTCTTGAAGCATGAAGCAACACAGTGGGGCCTGCCTGACTGATACAGAGAAGCCATGAGGGCAGGCGAGTTTGAGGGCATCTACAAGCTGGCTGTGGCCGAGGTGCCCACCAACAGGCCCCTGCAGAGGAAGGTGAAGCCCGTTTGTGTGGAGGGATGAAGCTGGTTGAGCCACGAAAGGAAAGCTCCTCGTAAAAGAGCGAATCCTTGCACAGCAAATTGACTTTTGAGTCGACTCAAAAGTCACCTCTTTTGAGTCGACTCAAAAGTTACCTGGATGAAGCTGGTTGAGCCAGGAAAGGAAAGCTCCTCGTAAAAGAGCGAATCCTTGCACAGCAAATTGGAAGGTCTTCTTTTCTTTTTTGGAAGGGTTGTTAGGGACAATGTATAATCATGGCCCCATGATTTGGTAAGTGAGTGTCGCGTGCAGTGTTAATCAAGCCAGTAAGCGCGAGTGAGTCATGTAGGAGGTGCCCTTTCTTGTCACTTGCGGATTTGCCCGTCCTTTGTATTCCTCACAGGATGAGCAAGACGTGGTGTATCGCACGTCAGTGGGCAAGTGGAGGGCAGTGGTGGCGGATGTGAAGGGGCGGCACGCAGAGGAGCAGCCAGTGCTGGTGGTCTATCATTCACTCCTTCCCTCTGTTGCTATTACCTTGCTACTCCCTTGACACCAACTACAGGACGAGCAAGACGTGGTGTATCGCACATCAGTGGGCAAGTGGAAGGCGGTTGTCGCAGATGTGAAGGGGCGGCATGCAGAGGGGCGGCCGGTGCTGGTGGGAACCACGTCGGTTGAGATCAGTGAGGCGCTCTCGGCCAAACTAAAGGAGGCGAACGTCCCCCACCAGGTGCGATGATCTGCATTGCAATGCATTGTGGTGTGGTACTATGGTGCATGTGGCCCCTCTGCCTGCCGGTGCTGGTGGGCACCACGTCGGTTGAGATCAGTGAGGCGCTCTCGGCCAAACTAAAGGAGGCGAATGTTCCCCACCAGGTGAGGAGAGTGGGTGCTGTGCTGTGCGGTGTGGCGTGGTGCTGTGCTGCAATGTGGCCCTGGGAAGCATGGTGCTGTGCTGTGTGTGTGCTGGTGGGCACCACGTCGGTTGAGATCAGTGAGGTGCTATGAGCGAAATTGGAGGAGGCTAACGTTCCCCACCAGGTGAGGAGAGTGGGTGCTGTGCTGTGCGGTGCTGTGCCGTTTTGAGCCATGGGGGGTATACCACTTTGCCAAGTGCTGGTGGGCACCACGTCGGTTGAGATCAGTGAGGCGCTATCAGCGAAATTGGAGGAGGCTAACGTTCCCCACCAGGTGCAGAGAGTGTGTGATGTGTTGTTTGTAAGCCTAATCCGCATTGTTTGGTTTGGTGTGGTCTGGACTTATGGTGCGGCCCGTGCTGCCCGTGCTGTGCTGGTGGGCACCACATCGGTTGGGATCAGTGAGGCGCTATCAGCCAAGCTGAAGGATGCAAACGTTTATTTCCGTTCAGTGCTAGCTTTCCTTCCCTTAGTTGTTTTCACATTGTTTCTTCTCTCTCTCTTCACCATGGGACCCGTGCGTAATCAAGGCAACGACACACACTGCTTCCATCGTATTAGCGTTGCCTTGATTACGCACAGTTTCCATGGTGAAGAGTGAAGAAACAATGTGAAACAAATTAAGGGAAGGAAAACTAGTCCAAAACGGAAACAACGTGCCTTCATATGTTCTCATCCATCCTTCCTTCCCTTCCATTCTCCTCAACCCCTCTCCTCACCCCTTCTCCGCAAAGGTGCTGAACGCCAAGCCAGAGAACGTGGAGAGGGAAGCAGAGATAGTCGCGCAGAGCGGGCGTGTGGGGGCAGTGACCATAGCAACCAACATGGCTGGGCGGGGAACTGACATTCTTTTGGGCGGCAATGCTGAATTCATGGCCCGGCTGAAGCTCAGGGAGGCGCTCATGCCCAGGTGCAGTGCGGTGCAGTGCAGTGCTGTAGAAGGGTGTGTGGTGTGGTGTAGTTGAAGTTAATGCATGGGACGGGATGGTGAGAGTAGTAATAATGAAAAAATCCTTGTGTTTCTCTCTTCTCCTGTCTGGCTCTTTCCCTCTCCTCTACTCTTAACCTCTCCCCTGCACCTGCCCTCCCTCCCCTGCTCCTGCCTGCTGCTGCCCACAGAGTGGTGAAGGCAGATGACGTGGCGTTCATATTCCAAGGCAAAACGAAGGTTGCCATCCAACGAACCTGGACGGTATGTCTTGCCATGTTCAATGAACCTGGACGGTATGTCCTGCCACGTGCAGTGAACCTGGACGGTACGTCCTGCCTTGTGCGATGAACCTTGGCGGTACGTCAAGCCACGTGCAACGAACCTTCAGGAAGGGAAATTGGGTGTCCTGCTTGATTATTAGAAAGGGCATCGGAGAAAGGCGAATTGCGTTCATTAGCATGCCTTTTGCTTAGCTCCTATTTGTAGCCAATGCTGCATCGTGCACTGACTGCGAGGATTGTCAGGACTGCGAGCACTGCGAGCACTGCGAGCACTGTGAGGCTATCTGTGAGGATTGTCATCCACTGCCCGCCTTTGTATTCCCATCCCCACCAGGTGCCGCCCAGTCTCTTCCCCTGTCCGCTCTCGCCTGACCTCAGTAATGCCGTGAACGAGGCAGTGCAAGCAGCAGTGCAGGCGTGGGGCTCTGAATCCGTGCTCTTCCATTCCCTGCCCTCTTATGCCCATCCACTGCCCTCCTGCCCCCATCCCCACCAGGTGCCGCCCAGTCTCTTCCCCTGTCCGCTCTCGCCTGACCTCACTAATGCCGTGAACGAGGCAGTGCAAGCAGCAGTGCAGGCGTGGGGCTCTGAATCCGTGCTCTTCCATTCCCTGCCCTCTTATGCCCATCCACTGCCCTCCTGCCCCCATCCCCACCAGGTGCCGCCCAGTCTCTTCCCATGTCCGCTCTCGCCTGACTTCAGTCATACTGTGAATTTTGAGACGTCTCAAAACTCAACTGTTATCACCCAACCCTTCTTTGTTCTCCAGGTGCCGGCCAGTCTCTTCCCCTGTCCGCTCTCGCCTGACCTCACTGATGCCGTTAACGAGGCGGTGCAAGCAGCAGTGGAGGCGTGGGGGAGCAGTGCGCTCACCGCACTGGAGGCAGAGGACAGGCTGGCATTCGCATGTGAGAAGGTGAGAGGCGGTGTGAGGTATGTATGATTGTGTGCGTCTGCACACAGGCAGCAGCAGCAGCAGCAGTGGAGGCGTGGGGGAGCAATTCGCTCACAGCACTGGAGGCAGAAGACAGGCTGGCGTTCGCATGTGAGAAGGTGAGAGTGGGTGGGGTGGTAGGTATTAATAAGGGTAGGGGGTACGGCGATTCACAGAGGGCATGTGAAGGTGAGAGCGGGTGGGGTGGTAGGTGCTATGTTGAAATTTGACAAGTGCATGTGAGCCCAGGTCGCATTAGCAGTGTAGGCTCGAAGTAGCGATCCCCTCACAGCAACTGACCCTTGGTGACGCAACTGAGAGCAGAGTGAGGGGACGTGGAGAGGGGGGGGGGCGCCATCTTCTCCCTCCCCTTCCCCCCCCCCTCCCCCTCCCTCTCCCCCTCCCCTTCCCCTCGCCAGGGTCCCACGTCTGACCCTGTGGGTGAAGCAAACTGAGAGCAGCCTTGGCCACTGTGGAGGGGGAGTATCGGCGATTCACAGAGGAGGAGAAGGGGAGGGTCATTGCTCCAGGGGGTGTGCATGTGAAACCACATGATCGTTTCTCCTCTCTCTCCTCTTCCCCTCCTCCTCCCCTTCCAGGGCCCCACGTCCGACCCTGTGGTGAAGCAGCTGAGAGCAGCCTTTGAGGCGGTGGAGGGGGAGTATCGGCGATTCACAGAGGGCATGTGAAGGGGAACCCCCAAGAGACCATGCAACATTCTCGTTTTTCCCTTCCCCCTCCAGGGCCCCACGGCCGATCCTGTGGTGAAGCAATTAAGGGCAGCCTTCGAGGCAGTGGAGGGGGAGTATCGGCGATTCACAGAGGAGGAGAAGCGGAAAGTGATTGCTGCTGGAGGCCTGCATGTGATCGGCACAGAGCGGCATGAGTCACGACGTGTGGACAACCAGGTGGGCTGGTTTGAGATCAGGTTGAGTGGTTCAAGGTTCATGGTTCAAGGTTTAAGGTTCAAGGTTTAAGGTTCAAGGTTTAAGGTTTAAGGTGCGGCAAACTGCATGTGATTGGCACGGAGCGGCACGAGTCACGACACGTGGACAACCAGGTAGGTCGGTTGCAACCTGTGTATGAGCACTGGATTTTCTAACATTGCTGCTGGGGGGCTGCATGTGATTGGCACGGAGAGGCACGAGTCGAGACTTGTTGACAACCAGGGTGGTTCAAAATTCAGAGGTCAAGGTTCAACACGCAACAAACTGTCTGTCATCGGCTCATCAACTTGTGAGGCGCCTCAAAATGTCATCAGCACATCAACTTGTGAGGCACCTTTAAAATGTCATCAGCACATCAACTTGTGAGGCGCCTCAAAATGTCATCAGCACATCAACTTGTGAGGCGCCTCAAATTGTCATCAGCACATCAACTTGTGAGGCGCCTCAAAATGTCATCAGCACATCAACTTGTGAGGCGCCTCAAAATGTCATCAGCACATCAACTTGTGAGGCGCCTCAAAATGTCATCAGCACATCAACTTGTGAGGCGCCTCAAAATGTCATCAGCACATCAACTTGTGAGGCGCCTCAAAATGTCATCAGCACATCAACTTGTGAGGCGCCTCAAAATGTCATCGGCACATCAACTTGTGAGGCGCCTCAAAATGTCATCGGCACATCAACTTGTGAGGCGCCTCAAAACGTCATCAGCACATCAACTTGTGAGGCGCCTCAAAATGTCATCAGCACATCAACTTGTGAGGCGCCTCAAAATGTCATCAGCACATCAACTTGTGAGGCACCTTTAAAATGTCATCAGCACATCAACTTGTGAGGCGCCTCAAAATGTCATCAGCACATCAACTTGTGAGGCGCCTCAAAATGTCATCAGCACATCAACTTGTGAGGCGCCTCAAAATGTCATCAGCACATCAACTTGTGAGGCGCCTCAAAAATGTCATCAGCACATCAACTTGTGAGGCGCCTCAAAATGTCATCAGCACATCAACTTGTGAGGCACCTTTAAAATGTCATCAGCACATCAACTTGTGAGGCGCCTCAAAATGTCATCAGCACATCAACTTGTGAGGCGCCTTAAAAATGTCATCAGCACATCAACTTGTGAGGCGCCTCAAAATGTCATCAGCACATCAACTTGTGAGGCGCCTCAAAATGTCATCAGCACATCAACTTGTGAGGCGCCTCAAAATGTCATCAGCACATCAACTTGTGAGGCGCCTCAAAATGTCATCAGCACATCAACTTGTGAGGCGCCTCAAAATGTCATCAGCACATCAACTTGTGAGGCGCCTCAAAATGTCATCGGCACATCAACTTGTGAGGCGCCTCAAAATGTCATCAGCACATCAACTTGTGAGGCGCCTCAAAATGTCATCAGCACATCAACTTGTGAGGCGCCTCAAAATGTCATCAGCACATCAACTTGTGAGGCGCCTCAAAATGTCATCAGCACATCAACTTGTGAGGCACCTTCAAAATGTCATCAGCACATCAACTTGTGAGGCGCCTCAAAATGTCATCAGCACATCAACTTGTGAGGCACCTTTAAAATGTCATCAGCACATCAGCTTGTGAGGCGCCTCAAAATGTCATCAGCACATCAACTTGTGAGGCGCCTCAAAATGTCATCGGCACATCAACTTGTGAGGCGCCTCAAAATGTCATCGGCACATCAACTTGTGAGGCGCCTCAAAATGTCATCAGCACATCAACTTGTGAGGCACCTCAAAAATGTCATCAGCACATCAACTTGTGAGGCGCCTCAAAATGTCATCAGCACATCAACTTGTGAGGCGCCTCAAAATGTCATCAGCACATCAACTTGTGAGGCGCCTCAAAATGTCATCAGCACATCAACTTGTGAGGCGCCTCAAAATGTCATCAGCACATCAACTTGTGAGGCGCCTCAAAATGTCATCAGCACATCAACTTGTGAGGCGCCTCAAAATGTCATCGGCACATCAACTTGTGAGGCGCCTCAACATGTCATCAGCACATCAACTTGTGAGGCGCCTCAAAATGTCATCGGCACATCAACTTGTGAGGCGCCTCAAAATGTCATCAGCACATCAACTTGTGAGGCGCCTCAAAATGTCATCGGCTCATCAACTTGTGAGGCGCCTCAAAATGTCATCAGCACATCAACTTGTGAGGCGCCTTTAAAATGTCATCAGCACATCAACTTGTGAGGCGCCTCAAAATGTCATCAGCACATCAACTTGTGAGGCGCCTCAAAATGTCATCAGCACATCAACTTGTGAGGCGCCTCAAAATGTCATCAGCACATCAACTTGTGAGGCGCCTCAAAATGTCATTGGCACATCAACTTGTGAGGCGCCTCAAAATGTCATCAGCACATCAACTTGTGAGGCGCCTCAAAATGTCATCGGCACATCAACTTGTGAGGCGCCTCAAAATGTCATCAGCACATCAACTTGTGAGGCGCCTCAAAATGTCATCGGCACATCAACTTGTGAGGCACCTCAAAATGTCATCGGCACATCAACTTGTGAGGCGCCTCAAAATGTCATCGGCTCATCAACTTGTGAGGCGCCTCAAAATGTCATCAGCACATCAACTTGTGAGGCACCTTTAAAATGTCATCAGCACATCAACTTGTGAGGCGCCTCAAAATGTCATCAGCACATCAACTTGTGAGGCGCCTCAAAATGTCATCAGCACATCAACTTGTGAGGCGCCTCAAAATGTCATCAGCACATCAACTTGTGAGGCGCCTCAAAATGTCATCGGCACATCAACTTGTGAGGCGCCTCAAAATGTCATCAGCACATCAACTTGTGAGGCGCCTCAAAATGTCATCGGCACATCAACTTGTGAGGCGCCTCAAAATGTCATCAGCACATCAACTTGTGAGGCGCCTCAAAATGTCATCGGCACATCAACTTGTGAGGCGCCTCAAAATGTCATCGGCACATCAACTTGTGAGGCGCCTCAAAATGTCATCGGCTCATCAACTTGTGAGGCGCCTCAAAATGTCATCGGCTCATCAACTTGTGAGGCGCCTCAAAATGTCATCAGCACATCAACTTGTGAGGCACCTTTAAAATGTCATCAACACATCAACTTGTGAGGTGCCTCAAAATGTCATCAGCACATCAACTTGTGAGGCGCCTCAAAATGTCATCGGCACATCAACTTGTGAGGCGCCTCAAAATGTCATCAGCACATCAACTTGTGAGGCGCCTCAAAATGTCATCGGCACATCAACTTGTGAGGCGCCTCAAAATGTCATCAGCACATCAACTTGTGAGGCGCCTCAAAATGTCATCGGCACATCAACTTGTGAGGCGCCTCAAAATGTCATCAGCACATCAACTTGTGAGGCGCCTCAAAATGTCATCGGCTCATCAACTTGTGAGGCGCCTCAAAATGTCATCAGCACATCAACTTGTGAGGCACCTTTAAAATGTCATCAGCACATCAACTTGTGAGGCGCCTCAAAATGTCATCAGCACATCAACTTGTGAGGCGCCTCAAAATGTCATCAGCACATCAACTTGTGAGGCGCCTCAAAATGTCATCGGCACATCAACTTGTGAGGCGCCTCAAAATGTCATCAGCACATCAACTTGTGAGGCGCCTCAAAATGTCATCGGCACATCAACTTGTGAGGCGCCTCAAAATGTCATCAGCACATCAACTTGTGAGGCGCCTGAAAATGTCATCGGCACATCAACTTGTGAGGCGCCTCAAAATGTCATCGGCTCATCAACTTGTGAGGCGCCTCAAAATGTCATCGGCACATCAACTTGTGAGGCACCTTTAAAATGTCATCAGCACATCAACTTGTGAGGCGCCTCAAAATGTCATCAGCACATCAACTTGTGAGGCGCCTCAAAATGTCATCAGCACATCAACTTGTGAGGCGCCTCAAAATGTCATCAGCACATCAACTTGTGAGGCGCCTCAAAATGTCATCGGCACATCAACTTGTGAGGCGCCTCAAAATGTCATCAGCACATCAACTTGTGAGGCGCCTCAAAATGTCATCAGCACATCAACTTGTGAGGCGCCTCAAAATGTCATCGGCACATCAACTTGTGAGGCGCCTCAAAATGTCATCAGCACATCAACTTGTGAGGCGCCTCAAAATGTCATCGGCACATCAACTTGTGAGGCGCCTCAAAATGTCATCGGCACATCAACTTGTGAGGCGCCTCAAAATGTCATCAGCACATCAACTTGTGAGGCGCCTCAAAATGTCATCGGCACATCAACTTGTGAGGCGCCTCAAAATGTCATCGGCACATCAACTTGTGAGGCGCCTCAAAATGTCATCAGCACATCAACTTGTGAGGCGCCTCAAAATGTCATCGGCACATCAACTTGTGAGGCGCCTCAAAATGTCATCAGCACATCAACTTGTGAGGCGCCTCAAAATGTCATCGGCACATCAACTTGTGAGGCGCCTCAAAATGTCATCGGCACATCAACTTGTGAGGCGCCTCAAAATGTCATCAGCACATCAACTTGTGAGGCGCCTCAAAATGTCATCGGCTCATCAACTTGTGAGGCGCCTCAAAATGTCATCAGCACATCAACTTGTGAGGCACCTTTAAAATGTCATCAACACATCAACTTGTGAGGCGCCTCAAAATGTCATCAGCACATCAACTTGTGAGGCGCCTCAAAATGTCATCGGCACATCAACTTGTGAGGCGCCTCAAAATGTCATCAGCACATCAACTTGTGAGGCGCCTCAAAATGTCATCGGCACATCAACTTGTGAGGCGCCTCAAAATGTCATCAGCACATCAACTTGTGAGGCGCCTCAAAATGTCATCGGCACATCAACTTGTGAGGCGCCTCAAAATGTCATCAGCACATCAACTTGTGAGGCGCCTCAAAATGTCATCGGCTCATCAACTTGTGAGGCGCCTCAAAATGTCATCAGCACATCAACTTGTGAGGCACCTTTAAAATGTCATCAGCACATCAACTTGTGAGGCGCCTCAAAATGTCATCAGCACATCAACTTGTGAGGCGCCTCAAAATGTCATCAGCACATCAACTTGTGAGGCGCCTCAAAATGTCATCGGCACATCAACTTGTGAGGCGCCTCAAAATGTCATCAGCACATCAACTTGTGAGGCGCCTCAAAATGTCATCGGCA